TGGTTGGTCCCTGCAGCTGTGACACATCTCATGGTTTGATATCGCTTCAAACTGGTTTGCTAAGGGTTTGGGGTTTTTTTTAAGATTTCCTCCTCTCTAAGTCTTTCTCATGAAAAAGCCTTATAAAATTTAATAAGGATGAAACTGTCAGAGTTTGAGAGAAACCCTACAGACCTGTCCTACAGTCTGTTCCGCCAGCACAAGACTGGGAAGAACTAGAACCAGTACACATGTAATCAGTGAGAGCTCTGAAATGTACCATAGAAACACAGAAAAATGAATGTTGGAAGGTACCTCTGGAGGTCAGCTAATTCAACCCTCTGTTTAAAAAACAGTTTAGTTAGATCAGACTGCTCAGGGCCTTGTCCAAGACATTGAAAGAATCTAGGATTTCAGTCCGTCCCTTCTTTTCTTCATTTGCTAATTTATCCAGGTAATATAATTTTCTAGACTGAGTACTGGCTATTGAAAAAGAACAACTTTGGGATAATGAAAAAAGAGGATTCTGGACTCTGGAATCCCCTTTTCTGTTAGATCAATCTTTATAAAATACATGTGATATTTTAGGTTGCTCTTTATGTCCTAAGGGGAAAAACAAACAAAACAAAGATGCACTGAAGTGATGTTTTGGTCTAAAAAGTGACTAAAATACAGTATCGTGTTTCTTCATATTTGATATAGTATGAGTGAAATAATACATTTTTTTAGTTGAAGGTAAAACAGCAATGATTATGTTGGAAAAACAGAATTTTGCTTGCCAGGCCTCAAGCTGGCAGTATAGAAAGCATATTTCTATAAGCATATTTTTATGCATAGATTCAGCAAATCTGATTAGAAAAATCTTTATACTGGTGCTTCCTAAATGATTTTTCATAAGGCAGTTTTCAAAATAGAATCTCTTCATAGAGTATAGCTTGTCTCAATTAGATAATGAAAAAATCCAGAATAAATAAATTATATCAACACTGTAACATATGAAGTACATCTTGATCTGGAATATTCTGTCTGGTTTTGGTCTCCCCATTACAAGAAAATTATCGACATATTGGAGCAAGTCTAGCAGAGAGCCACCATGGAGATCAGGTTCTGGAACACATGACGGATGAAGAGAGGCTGAGAGACATGCTTCAACCTTAGGAAGAGAAGGGTAAGGGTAGATCTTAATGCTGTCTACAAACACCTAACAGTGGGTGTAGAGAAGAAGCCAGACTCTTCTTGGAGGTGCACAGTGGAAAAGGCAATGAAAACAAATTGGAACACGGAAAATTCCTACTTGACACACAGATTTTTTAATTTTTTTTTTCCCATAAAGATGGTAAAATATTGGGCCAGCTTGCACAGAGGCATTGTAGAATTTCCATCCTTGGGGATATTTAAAACTCAGCTGGATATGGCCCTGAGCAACCAGCTCTAGTTGGAGGTTGGCCAAAACGGCCTCTGGAGGCCCCTTCCCACCTGCATGATTCTATGATTGACTGCTCTGCTCCAAAATATTATGTAGCTATTCACAAAAACTCATATTTGCTTTAGTTGCTCCCTCTATGTACACTGTTTTGTGAGACTTTTGTCTCAATTTGTTCTCATACTATAGTTCCATGGCCTTGGAAACCACAATCTGACTTTCTTATAATGGCTTCTCTTTTGCAAATAGGCATAAATCTAGCATGAAGGAAACAAGGTTAAGCTTCTCCTTTCTACAGCTGGATAACTCAACTGTTACCAAATCATCTAATTATGGGTTTGCTTCCAAGAAGCCGTACAGAGAGGATTAGCCTTTCCTCATTAGTCTGTTTCTACTCATAGTTTACCAAGAGGACAACTGTACAACTTCAGCAAGGAAACACAGGCCTAAAAAGGATCTAGCTATAACAGATTACACAAGTTTGAAGTGCACAGCTTAAAATATCTGCAAAGAAACAAAAGTTGTCATTGTTAAAAACGAATCCTAGAATGTGTCACTAATTATGCCTTTCCAAAATACCAGCTATGGTTCAAAATTTTAGTAATGACTAAGACACTTGCATATGAGCACCCAAAAGCTGCAGTCCAGAGATTGACTGAGTACACCATCTATACAGGTGAAAAACGTCTCCCTTTACAAACAGAAGAGATGGTCCCAAAGCCCAAAATTTGGCTTCAGAGTTCAAGACCTGCTACAGAGAGAGCCTGAGAAATCTGAAATCTGGTTAAGTCTCTTATCCCCCTTTTCTCTGTTTTTTAGGCTATGTGGATCCATGATTTAGATGTAGGCCTGCCTCTAGAACAAAATAATCAGACATTTCAGCATGTTTTTTTCCATGGGGCCCTTCTTCTGCCATATTTAAATAAGATGTCAACAAGACCATAAATGACAACTGGAAGTAAATAAACAGTCTTGCTTGATTTTTTCCATTTTAAATAGAGTCTGGTACTTAAACTGTCAATAATTAAGGTTTGTAGACTACTGATAGCATGTCTAAAGGCAGGTGTGTTCAGCGGTCAAAGGAGGATATTTATGCAGGTTCATAGCCAATGAATATCATAGTGGTGGGTTTGAGAGCACACAGTTTAGGACACTACAGTAATGAAATTCTAGGATTCTCTTATCCTTTTTTTAATCTAATGCACTGACTGGATGCTCTACAGTTTCACACAGCTGAGGTTTCAGTTCCCATTAGACATCTGGCAGGATGCTCTATATATTCCAATACAAATTGGATTCTAGGGCCCTCAGTCCCAGTGGAACAGCTGGGTGGAATGGCCATAAAAAGTATGCAAATAGAGAAGTAGAGAAATATGAGATTGTCAGCAAGCAGTGCTCCGCAATTTTAAAATGTATACATATATATATAAGCATATATATATACACATATAGAGTACGGTTAGTTTTAAATCTTTGGAATAAACTCAATTTTTGTTCTCTCTCTCTTTCTCTCTGTCTTTCCTTCTTTTCTTTCTTTCATTCTCTCTCATGCTCTTACCACAAATGTTACATCATTGTCCCTAAAAGATGGGTAGGTTTTGGTCCATATTTTATACCATATGGGCCAGACATTGTATTTCCCCCCTGTCCCCAAAGTGTTCAGTTGACAGTCACAGTGTTTTGTGAAAACTGTGAGGAAAAACAGCATCTTTCGAGTAAATTCAATCTCTCACTGGAACCAAAGGTTGCAAAATGCTGAGAATTCCAGTGCCAAGGATCCCGGTGACGGCTCTTAAACATTTTTCGAGTTTCTCATTTGTTCTTTTTCTCCTAAGAGTACAGTTTTACCTCCCAAAACATAAATTAAGGGAAATATTTAACAGTCAATGAGTCAAAACAGTCAAAGAAGGGCAGTTGGCTAATACAGTATAAAAGAGCAGCAACCATTTGTGGACCACGCGCCATTTTGTTTCATTTCTAGACACATCTTGTAGGGATGGTCCCAGAATATACAAAATATACAACCTAATGACCACCTGCCTGCTTGCATAGGCCATTTTTACGGTCCTAAATGCAGTCTTTGGAGTCAGGGCCAGTGCCAAATAGTTTCAAATGCAAGTTATGGTAAGATACATTTTTTTGTTTTTCTTTTGTAATGAAGACTTTAATCCACTTTGAACCAACGAAATCAAATTATCAATAGGACTGAAGGGTGAGCATGAGACCTCCACTTCTCCTTGACAGTTCACAAAGTAGGCCAAAATGGACCTCTAGGTTAGTAATACTTTAGACCAATCATTTGGAAAAGCCTCACTGCTGTATGTAAAATCCAACCCTTCCTTCACCATTCACACTGTTACATTTTTTCATTAGGAGTGGGCTACAGCATCAACTTGATGAATGGAAAAGGAGGACTTTGATAATTTCTTTAAAAGGCTAATGCTGAATGAAGCCATTGTACTTGGAAGAGGTTCTCGATTTCCCACTCAGAGACTGGAGTAGGATTTTTGGCTTGTTTTTTTTTTTGTGTGCTCAACAAACATTAGCTTTAAATTAAAATGTCTGCAGGTGCTCTTTACACAAACAAAAGTCTAATGTTTTAAATTGGTTAATAGAAGAACAGCAAGAAAAAGCAACATAATTCATCACTAAGTCACTGTGGGTTGTGGCTAACATGCTCACATGTTGTGGAAGGAATCCTGTAGTCATGCCTGTGTGGCCAGTCCCAGACCAATATCCAGGTGAAGACAAGGAGTTCTGAAGATCACTTGTTCGTGGAGAAAAGAGAAAAAAATGTTTAAGCTTCCAAATAAGCTTTTAAAGTTTTTTGTTCAACAAATAAACAAGAAGTCCTAGCTATGGCAATAAGGTGAGGCCTACAGAGATATTAGGTGCTGTTTCTCAGGGGTTTATCCCTTGGCCACTTAGCCATCATGGCAGCAGCTTCCAGAGTCCCTAGTGCATATGTTGTGCAATAGCCAAAACAAAAATTTAAATAAAAACAACCAACAAAAATATAGTCCTCCGTGAAGTCTACATAAACTCAGGCCAAAAAGAGGATATTTGTGTCACAAGTGTCACTCCACAGTCTACTGCCATTAAGGCCACTGGTATTGACTTAAAAGGATCTCAATAGCTCAGTTCTAGGAAGAAGAACCAAAACCAAGACAGGTCAAAGTGTCTGTGAGAAGTCTGACGCACTGAACATTAGGAATTCTCAGACAAAGAACAAATGAACCAAGAGGTTAATTTTGGCTACCAAACTGGGATTTGGTTTTCTAGGTCATTGTTTTCCCCCCATCTATTTAAAAAGAAAGTTAGTGCTACAAATATGCAACTTCAAGACGACATATTCTCCTATTGAGTTGCACTGAGAAGCAAGTTAAATAAGCCCCTCCTACTGCCGTCCACCTGCAGGGAAGCCTCCTCCGTTTTCTTTGATTTCCACTGGCAAAAACAGGAAACAAATCCAAGAGGGACGAAGAACTGTAAGCAACTGTTCCTTCTCGTTGACTTCACCTCTATACCATTTCCTCGCCTGCATCTTCTCCCATCCAGCTGGGGCAAGGCATAAAGAACCGATGTACGTATTGAAGTATAACTGGGTGCATGACAGTGTGAGCGTGTGGTCTCTGTACAGAGGATTACACGTGATCAAGTTCTCTTCTCCTGCAAGGCAGCGCGTTGTAACTTGAGTTCCACTTTCATCTCACAACACTTAGCTCAGATGACATCCATGCCAAGCTGACTGATATTTAGATGTGTCTCTTCATGTGAAGGGCGAGGTGATCGGACCTGGAAAAACACCTGCAAAATAAAGCAAGTGGGAAATGAAATAAATACAGGATTTGGGAAAACAGGGTTCCTGCTCCTTCCTCCGTATGTACAGGAGCAAATATATATCCACGTTTAGAGACATTCCTTAGATTATCTATGGATCGCCACCAAACCCTGTGTGATTGACCTCTGTGACCACAGATGGCCAACTATCCTGGCTCTTTGGCAGCTAAATAGACCACTCTTCTCCTTTCTCTGTTAGTCTCCCTCCCCCTTTTTTCACTGAGTCAAACATCAGGCAAGAGTGCTCATCTATGCAACTGTAGTATAAAATCAAATATTTAGTGTAAATGTGTGTGTGCATATAAAAAACCGAAATAAAACAAGCCAGTTTTGCTCAAGTACTCAGCAACACGAGTTTAAAAAAACACCAGCTTTCTCAAGTGCCCAGTACCTGCAACAAGCACTGAAGTATGATGGCAGTTTTGAAAGCTGAATTCTCATTTCTAACTCCAAACTGGAAGGAAAGCTGGTTCAGAGTTTGGAGGCTGACAATCCATCAGGCTACATAGCTCTCCCTTTCTCTCTGTTGGGAATCTGGGTGGTAATATGTGGATGTTGATGAATGCTATCTCCCTGAAGGTTGTTGACAGAAGATAAGGTATTATGCCTATTTTGTGAAAATTGAGAGACAGAGAAGGCAAGGGAATTATAAATCACACAAGAAGTGTGGTAAAACCAGAAAAAAACACCAGGACTTCAGCTTTCAACTTCTGTTCTTTATCCACAAAGCAATTTTTCTCCATCTCATAAGAAAACGTAATGTTTTGACTCAACATGTAGATGGATGCTGATGAGATGGACTTAGAGTGGTGACCCTAGAGAACTAGTTGAGTTTTAGGGCTGGTCTAAACATGCAGTTAATTGAGAATAAGGTAGGGCATGAATTTGAAATGAAGCATCTATTCTTGATTAACTCCCTCTCTAAAGGCTTATGACTGCCTTCTTCTGAAATGACTTAATCCACTGGGGAAGTGGGTTAAGATACTCAGAATAAAACATACTTGGTCCAGGAGAAGAGCAACCCCACAAAGAGTTAATCAGGAATTGCTATTCTAGAACAGCTGCCTTGTAGTAGACATGCTGCAGGGCACTCACAGCAGCAGGAACAGCAGCCCAAATTCAGGCACTTCACACCACCAAGATATTGTCAGAGTGATCAGGGGAATAAGTTCTCAGGAGAACAAGAGCTTTTCTTCCCTGTCATTCAATATATACCCCATTTTATCAAGACTGCCAGTAAGCAAAAACTTTTTTTTTACTTCATACCCATTAGAAATGGGATTGAAAGCACCAACCCATTTCACACCCACCATCACAGTGTCATTAAAGACGTGTATGGCACCAGAGAGCAAACCACAGGACAAGCGGGCAATGGTTCTGGCTGCCTACCCCAAAGCCCTAAAATGGAGCCTGACTGTCAGAGCGGCAGGGCTCAGACACTGTCAGAGATTAGACTTCTACTAGATGCTTCAAGTTGAGCACTAAAAAATGGGAGGTTTCCAAGTTCCCTGCAAATCTTGGCTTGCCTTCTTTCCACCCTAAGCCATAAAACACTGGCTCATTTATTTTTACTAATAGCAAAACACATCTATTATAAGTATCACACAAAAACCACATATCTGTGGCTTTTGAGTAAACTGTTTTTGTAGGCTCCGAGGGCATCATGAAAAGCTACTTCCAGAACTGACTTGCCTGGAATGTCTTTTCACTGCCCCGCAGATTTAGAGTATAAAAGAGCCACTAATATCGGTCTGAAGAATATCCAAATGGCTTATTGTGAGAATCTGGATAGGTCATACATGGGCACTGAATGTATTTCCAAAAAAGCAGTAGTTGAGTATTTTGTATTTTTCGGATGGAAGAAGGTAAGAGAACGAATTGAACTACTCAGTAAAAAAAGCCAAAAACCAAAGATAAAGAACCAGAACACTCAGTCTAAAGGCAAACACCCAGAGGATAAACTTCCTAAGCAGAGAAAGGCTGAGAAAGAGAAGAACTATAAAAATGAAGAGATTTTAAATAGTTAGGGGATCTTTTCTGTCCTGCTGGCAGTATTCCCCTGCACAAGCAATCTATCTGCATCTACATGCAGAGATGAGTTATTGAGAGGTGCATTTTTAAAACAAAGAAACTTCATAAGAAGGCGACTTTCGCAAGAAAAGCTAGATACTAATCTTCTCTGGATGAGCATAGCTCTGCTCAAGTCAGCTGTTCTCTACTGATTTGTAGCAGCTTACAAGCAGGTTAATACCTTCAGAGTGGCAAAAATTAAGAAGACAGACTTCAAAATAGGATGGAGGCTGCATTCCTCCAAGCTCCTGCATGAAGCACAGTAAGACAGACGCGAATCTGACAATGGACACTTGGCTTTCAACACAGCAGGCTCAGCACAGCTAGAATTTTCTAGCCCTACGGTGCCAAAATACACCCTTGGACCAACATCTCTCTCGTCAGTCTAAACTGAGAAAGCAGCATGCTCTGGCTACAAGGGCTGCCAAAACAAAACAACAGCTTGAGCGGCTGCCAAAAAGACATGCACCAGCTGGCACTTCAGTCTAGGACTAGTCATAAGACCACCACCCAAGCACGGCTTTTCCTCTCTGATTGTCTCTATTATAGATGCAACCCAGGAAAATGTATGCTGAGTCACAGCACAGCAAGATCTGTTAAAAATATGGATTCAATACATTGTTTCATATCAATAACCACAGTATTAGCATCTAGTATATTTTTCAGCTCTAGAATATTTTTATAGCCAATAAAATGGTACCATATTTGCTAATTTATAGCTAATAAAATGGTACAATAGCAGTTCTTCACATTCTCCTGCTGACTAATTTGGTTAGTTCTATCTTTTGGTAAGGCTAGTGGATGCGGACATTTATTTTCAACAGTAAAAGAGTCCCTACAAAATTTTGCAGCTAAATCACACTGTCAAAAAAAGCTATTGATCAGTGGATGCATTTTTTTTCCTTCTGGAACTAGAGGCAGCAGTGGAAGAGGCTCCACAGGATAAGCTGTCAAGGGAAGCTCCTTTCTTCACAAATTAAGAAACAGCAGCTTGCTGGTCTCTAGTCCTGCCCGTGAGACAAGACCTTGCTCCACACCTCGAGCTCTACACCTCTTCTAGTTCCAGGCCAGCTCTGCACATTGTACATGGGCCCGTCACGATCTTCCCCATCACTCCTCCCCCAGCCCAGCTCTCCCTAGAAAGGACAGTTTGTGCTAGAATAAGATACCCTAATTCTGAAAGTCATACAGTGATGCGTGATACATAAATTCCCTGCTCCCAAACACGATTCCTTCCTTTCTCTTTTTGCTTTATCTCCTTAGCAACACAGTACTGCTCAGCACTGAAGCCTCTGCAGGAGAAAGAGCGAAGGTAACTATGATGAGAAGACAATATATTGCTCAGCCATCTTTCTTACCAGCTGTGGATTCTCCACTGTGGGATGTGTGCATTCCAGCTAAGTGTGCTTACTGTCAAAAAGGAAACCGTGCACGCACACACACACAGAGAGGAATATACACCCCAATAGTCTGGCACTAAGCTGCTATCTCCTAAACACCTACTTATGCAGAACAAGCGAGTGCCACTACCCTGTCATCCTCTTCCCCTTGGAGTGCTGAGGGTTTGCACTGTATGTGAGAAACATAACCCTAGCCTCTGCTTCTGAAGAACATAATTCCCGGGGAATGCTAATAACCAGCATATCCCTGGTGTCTGGAAGGCACTAGGGACCTGTAGACTGCTTTCCGCACCACTTTAGCTGATTCTCCTTTCTACCCTGCTGCCACCAAACCACACACCATTTGCAGTACATATGGTGCTACTCAAACCAGTGGTAGTTTGCCAGCTATAGCTAACAATGTGATCTGTGGGCTGCATGGTGTCGGGATAGAGCTGGGACAGCAGGAGAAGAGAATCACATCTTCTTATCTCTTTTGTTTTAAAATTGATCTGTACGCAGAAGGTCAGAGACACAAACGCATCTGAAAACAGCCTGGGAAGGGAATTGCAGCCAGATTGTGTGCACAACATTCCCCTTCTTTGCTATTTGCATCACCACTTTCATGCTCTGATTGCCAAGGTACGGCCTTTACCTCTGAACAACAACAGGCATATGTTTTGTGCTACGTCATTGTTAAAAGTAGCTCCAAAAGGCTCCTTAAAGTTTAGCAAGCCAGAATGTCTGAGGGAGTGACTACAACTCCTGTCAATAATGGTGGGTGCAATAAAGGGTAGCAGTTCAAATACAGAGAAACTGTTCTCCAGCTGGAAACCCTGGCTCAGGAAGGAGTGTCTTAAACATTAGAAGTCTGCCTAAATAGCTAAGGACAGATTTAGGCACAGGTTTCAGTGCTTGCTTGAGGTGACATCTGCAATAGGTGGTAGTGGAGAGATCTGTGAATGAGAAAAGAAGGAGAAATAGTGGTATGGCAGAGTGGGCCAAATGAAGAACAGGCACCCTCACTCTACGAGCTTGCAACAACTGACTGGGAGGGTAAAGACAAATCTGTCTCCTGCCACCACACGCAGATGGTATGTGCATGGAGTTTAACAGTGCACAATCCCCAGCACTCTTAACTTATTAATAAATATTTTTCCTTCATCTACAGATTCAGTGGAAGAGCAGAAAATGCATTAGATGATTGCAGGAATATATCTCTCGACTGTAGTGACTGAGTTGGCTGCCAAAGAAAAAACCTAGGTAGGAAGGGATAATGAAAAGAGGGAGAAGAATGAATACTTAACAAAGGGCTGAAAGAGACTGAGGAGTTGAAAATACTGACTGTATTTCTTTAGATCTCTGCTAAAAATATTGTCTGTCCTGACACAGAAACCCTGGGGCTTTGTATATATGTGTGTGTGTACGTGTGTGTTTGTGGGGCCAGGATGGTTAGTTTGTTCTTGAGAGGAAAGAAAAAAGAAAGGCAATGCCTTACATTTAAAACAGGGAACATAACTGTTCTCCTTCACACAGGTGCTTATACAAAAGCAGAACTCCAGAGGTCCCTACTTGGCTTATCCTGTCCCTCATTCTGAGCAAACAAAAGATAATCCAGGGATAAAACAAAAGATAATCCAAGAGGAAGCCCTCCATGGGGGAAGGGGGACCAGAAGAGGGGAGACAAGGGGAGAACAGCACGCAAGGAGATGAAGCTCTTGGAAAGGCAGGATGTGAAAATGATCAAATTTCCTTCCCATAAAGGGATGGGGTCCCTTGTTTATGTCCCACACATCCTCTCTCCGTGCATGTTCTCTGCTGGTCTGGTGTACCCAGAGGCTTCCTAGAGCCTTTATTGTATTACAAAATGTTTCCTTATCAGAGCAGAGAACCTTAGTGCTGCATTAAAAAGATGGGTAATTTTCTTAAGCCTCTTTTAAAAATATATATAAATAGGATTAGCTGGATAACATGTTCAGATGCAAGCACATTATTTGATTACTCAATAGTGGATCCAGGTTTCACCCAGGGCACTGCCAATCTCCAGCTGGGGGGGTGCGAGGGGGAGAAGTGCTCATTGTTTGATCCTGTCAGTGCTGTCAAGAGTCATTACAAGTGTAATTGCTTTTGCTCCACCCTAATTTCTTATCAATTGGGACTGAGGATGGGAAGGAGGGTTTTCTTTTGGTTTTGTTTCTAAATTCAAAGAACCCAGCTTTCAAAAATACTCAGCACCAAGCAAGGATGACCAGGTTTTTCAGATGACCTCATCATTCATTCAAGCAGCTAAAGCAGTGAGGACTGCAAAAAGGAATCGGCGGTGAGCGGCAGCAACCACAGCTCTCACTGGGAGCTGCTGGGTGCTCAGCTCGCCAGGCAAAACTGGCCCTTCATTTCTGAGTGCCCAGAGGAGGACTGTTGCATGACAGGCTCTTCAGGAACCCTGGCTCTGGGCATCTGTCAGGCTTTTAAACCTGGGTCCACACAGAATGAAGGTGTGGAATGTGAAGATCCTAGACAAAACAACCCCATGAACTTGAATTGTCAGATGTGCCTAAATCACTCCTGTGCTTTTGAAAATGAAGCCCTTTGCTGTCTTTCATTGACTCTCCCCTGTTTCATCTGGGGAAGCATGGAGCCCTGGACTCAGTGGTAAGAGAAGACAATGATCATACAGAAATTAAGTCCTTTTCTCCTAGACGTTTCCTATAGATTTGTGGTGCAACAGCCACACATGCTCCCCATCCCCCCACTGTACACCCACATATTTGTGGGGCCCATCAGCTTCTGCTGACCACTCTGCTGAAACACAGGCAGCACGGTGGTGCTTCTGGTAGCCCTTGAAGCAGAGCAGGTGGAGGGAGCCCTGCCTTTGTGAGGGCACCAGGCTCATACAACCAGGAGATGGAAAGTTGTGGAGATGCTTTGTTGAGAGGTCCATCACTGAAGTGGTCTAGGGCCCTCTGGACTTCTTCTCTGCTTTGAGAGTATTAAGAACAGCTGCCCTATGGACCAAATCCTGTGCCCACAACACACACCGGCAGGTTCCAGTCAAACCTACACCTGGTTCCACATCTTTCTCTGTGCTGTGGGATGGAAACAGCTTAGGCTGCTTAGGAAGTATTCCCCCTCTGCCAGCCCGCCTGGCCACTGAGGCAGAGAGGACAGGGGCAGAGTGGAGGGTCCCTCCTTGGCTCGGGGATCGAGGCAGCGGGACAGGAGGCCAGAAGGGGCCCCTCTGCTGGGAGCCAGGTCTCTTGTCTCGGGGAGCTGGTAGCTCCATGCCACTCATGAAGTCCACATGTTGCTTGAACGCCGTGTTAGGAGGCTGCATTACCTGTCACAATGGTTGCATTTAAAGGGCTTTGCACCCGTGTGCTTTCTGTAATGCCTTGTGAGCTCGTCGCTCCGTGCAAAACGCCACTCGCACCCTTCCCACGAGCACTTGTAAGGCTTCTCACCTGCAGAGGGGAGGAGAGAACAGTCAGCGTGGCAGCAGGATTACTGAGCACTCAACTTGCAAGCCCTGTGTCCTCCCACCTCACCTCTGTCCCACTCAGGCAGGTTAGCCCATCACACAATTCATGGCCAGTGTGGGATGGAAACAACTTAGGGCTTATGATGCATTGTACTGAGGAAGGATCCAGTCCAAATTTTACCGCTGCTGAAATTTTTGCACAACCTTATTTCCCATTTCTAACAAAACCAGTCAATTACTCTTCAAAGAAGCCCTCAGAACGTCCCCAGATGCCTGTCCTGCTGTGTGGCTGGAGCCTGATTTTCAGTCAGCTTTTCAGCTCACTCTACCCTTGCCAGATGAATTACTGTGGTACCTGTAAGTGGCTGTACTAACACCAGAGCACACTGCGGGTGTGCACCACTCCAGAGCGACCACCACCACTGCATCACATGCTTTACCCCGGCTGCCATTTACCCCTCGCGTGGCCAGGCTCACACCTGTTCCCTTCAAGCTTTCATGCCCGCTGCCCCCTAGGACTGCACCTTCTTTAGGTGCTTCTGACAACAAAAACTGTTCTTTCGTTCAAGAAATTATGCATCAGGACAGTGAGTGCGAGAGGAGAAATGTTTTCTTCTTTATATCAGCTGGTCCTTCAGGCTTTTTGCACTACACCTTTATCAGCTGTTATTCTGCCCCAAAATATTAACCATACCACTGAAGGCAGCGAAATGGTGCAGTGATAAGACAGGAGAGATTCTGGTCTGCTGTGTTTACATTTACTTATCTTCTAATGCAAACCGGTCTCTGTGGATCAAAGTCTGCCATGGTGTAACATCCATGGAGTCATTAACACCTTCTGATGGAGAATTCCCAGGTCTCATGCCTCCCCTTTTCTTATGCAGTGCACATGTATTCGTGTGCATGGAAATTTATCATCTCCTCCCAGAACAAATGCTCCAGTGCATCTCCTCCTATGTAAACTCCATGTTACTATTCTCCACGCAGTCAGCTCCGTACGGATGCATTAGAAGAGGAGGGAGTTGAGATAAAACGCAGACAAGAAATCACTTTCACTACCAAGCTGGGTAGTGAAAGCTACCAATTCTAAGCTGGGAATTATAAACATAGAAGGGATTATTACTTACTTACTTGCTCTTAAAATTGCTAATAAAGCGATCTTAAAAATCCCACCACTGACCAAACTGAAGTTGCAGTCTGTATGACCTCTCCATGCCAGTCATGTGAAACAATCACTTGGCCACAGCAGATAAATTTCTCAGTGCAGAGACGCAGACTTCTATATTTAGCATGTCTATTCAGCAAGTAAAGGAGTGAGATCTGATTATGGGAGACCTATGTATTTCAAGGTGACAAACTGGAGAGGCCAGAAGAGCAAGAAAAATGAAGAAGGCAAGAGAATTGCATCGAAATACATGAAAAAAAAGCTGGTGGGTGAGTTTCTGCAGACTTCTTATTGCACAGGCAGCTCTGTTGCACAGTGGTCATCCACCCCAGAGAGAACAGCAGAGTGGGCTGAGATGTTAACTGGAGTTGAGCCATTTTACTGGCCTCTGAGAAGTTTCTTTGGCTCAGCAGCAAAATTAAAGTATTCATTGGGGTGAAGCAATGAAGAAGGGGCAGCAGCCAGCAAGACTTCGCCAAAATATCCATTTGTCCCTCGGTCCCTGAATGCAGAAAGGCCAGCCTGGATGCCTCTGTTGTGTGCCGCAGTCCACCACGGGAAAATGCCCAACAGGACAATGGACTGAGCCAACAATAACACCACCCCACTTAGATTGCGCCTGCCTGGACATCTCTGCAGACTTGCCTTTTGTTCTTTTTTTTCTTTTAATAGGATTTCTTCAGGGGGAAAAAAAAAGCAAGAAACTTCTTGTTAGTGACCCAAGTGCTGGTGTCTTGTTTCTGGGCTGGTTACTCAACTGTAATTCAAACACCGTCACCAGTGCTGGCCCCAGACACTAGAGCTGCAGTTGCAGTGCTCTCACCCCCCAGCCCTTGCCATCCTACCTGGCATACTGCATCTGCTCTCCCCTTCTCAGAGAAAAGGGATTTCCCCAGCCCTGGTCATGTCTATGATGGTGCACTGGTTTTGTCCGAACAGTTCATCCGTTATTTTTAAAAGCTGTCAGTAAACAAGCCTTGATGATAATTCAGCTTCCTCGGTTCTCTGACGCTCTCTAGTGCCTACCTTAGAATGGAGACAGCAAGGCAGACAAACTGCCTTGCAGCGTATGTTTGCTACACACACTGTAAAGCAAATGCAGAAGACAACTGCTCAGCCAAATCTGGCAGGTACAGCCAGTCTGAAGGATACAGTCGCCTACAGAGCAGAAGGGTGAAGGAAAAACATCCTGGGCTTTCTGTGAAACAAGGGCTATTAGGACTGAAGCCGAGTTTGGCTTGTTAACATTTGTCAAGAGCTTTGAAAATGTACAGTGCTATATATAGGTTACGAGAGACAGAAATGCCAAGCATGATTACTGGTAAACCCATGGGATGCCACATATCTCCCTTACTTGCTGCAGGGGCTCCTCTCTCAAGCATTCCCAGTCTGGCCTTGCACAGCCCTGAGCTGAGTTTTGTTTTCAGATGCTTCTCCTCCGTAACCCAAGCCCCGTTCCACAAAATGTCAGACAGTACCTCTTTGTGCTCCAGACAGCAGGCTGGCATACAGTGCTCTGCGTGGCACAAGATAAATGCAAAGGAGCACGGTGACCTTTAAAGCCATGTCAGATGGCTCCTTGACCCAGAGACCTCAAAGAGGTTTGATTTCCCACCCTCCTGCAGCTACTCAAAAACATGAGAGGGCAGGAGGAGAGAGACCTCCATATCTCTGCATGTGAAGACTAAGAACAAACTGCTTCTTTAATGGCTGCTTTCACCTTACCCAAAGATGAAATGAAAGCGTATCTTGCCGAGGTGTACATATGTAGGAAGCATGGGAATGGAGAAATGGGGGGAGAGTCCTCCGACCTCACTACTGGCAATGGCAGGGAGAAGAAATGGGAAGGATCCTTTCTACGTGCCAGGCTGCTCTTCTGTTGTTGCAGAGGATTAGCGAGATAGATGGTGAAATCCTCCTCTGCTGAAGGCAATGGCAAAACTCCCACTCACTTCTACAGGGCCAGGATCTCCTCCTTTTTAACAAATTAATTATGAGCTTCAAAATCCAATTAAAAATAGGAACATCACGGAGCTGTGCCACACTGACTTTTTTCAGGCTCTAATTCCTCAAAATTAATAACCGCACTTAAAACTCGTGCCTGCAAGCCACTCCCAGGAAGGAGGCTCTACTCATTAAGTCACCTTTACTCAACACAAGGATCTGTGCACTGCTTAAACAAACCCATGAATCCACATTCATAAAAATGCACTCAACAGAGGAGCCAATGCACATCTGAAAAGAAGCCGATACCCAGATATGCAGCTGTTAAATACTCAGCTGTTTCAGTTCAGAACGTGCTCCACACTGTGGGGCTGGTTCAGCTTTCACACATCCACAAACACACCTGGGAAGGGCAGCCAGCCAGCAATGCAGGCACATGTTCAAGCAGCGAATTATGCAATTTTCTGTTTTAACACTAGTGCTCATCTCAATGTACCATTTGCTTATGGAAAATCTTCTAGAATCAACCCAGAATAGCGGCTTTCAGCTTTTTCTAATTTTTTCCCTGGGTGGCGGAGACTGCTACCTAGTGATGTCAAGCTTACTGACCACACTCCAGTTTCCTTGGGCAGCATGTACATCAGAGAGCAGTGCCACGCAGTAAAGGCAAGCTGTTGAGTGAAACAGTGGGTATGCAGGACCCAATATCCACACCGCATGCATTTGAAGGGTGTTATTTCTGGCTAGCCGCTGCCTGGTCCTGTGGCCTGAACCCGTCCGTAGGTGAAGCGTTCCAGCTGTGCACTTGCAGAGCACCTCCCAGGACAGGCCATCCAAAACCACGTGTGTTCTGGCCAGGCTGAACCAAAGCACAGTGAATGGGGGCAACCAGAAGATTCACCTCAAAAGGGGACACCTGATCACCAGAAAACACTCACATAGACACATACTTAGTTGCCTGCCGAGGATGTCCGAGAAGCAGCCTGTGCATGCCTGCAAGCGCACAGAGCACTGTGCTGAAATCTACTGATCTAGAAGGACCTCATCATCCGAAAAGCTAGTGGTACAGAAACGCTATTAGCCCTTCAGATATGCTTTAGGGTTTCAGCCCATCGTGACTGTATACTTCTGTGAAGCAGCCTCTCTTCATTGTGGCTCTATCCTGCAGTCCATAGCCCATTTTAATCTTTTTATCTTCCTGGAGCATATTTCCATGCCCTGAGACTGGGATGCTTGGTGAATAGGCTCTCTGTTCCACCTCTCTTTATGGCACTTCACACAACCTAGCTCTTCTTCTAAAAGTATCTCCAAAGCACACTTCAGTACAGTCTGGCCCTTCATCCTCCTTATTTCATCCAGCCTGGCCCAATCTGGTAACTGGAGGACAAAAAGCTTTGCAAATTTATGGGGAACATGCAATAGCGAAGCTAGAATTTGTAAGTCATAACAAAAATCCATCAGACTTTGGCAGCCCTGAAATCGGGTCACCATTCCTTTGGTGACTAAGACAAATGCGAGACTCTAAGTATTAGGCACCTAGTTATAAAAATAAACAAATTATTGGTATAGCTTTCTCTTGAAAGCCAAAAAATTATCATTTGCAAATATGAAAGAGCCAAGCACACAATCCTAGCAACACCACTGTGGTAAACACACACCAGGTTCCCAGCAAAACATGACTGATAGAGTTAGGCTGGTTGTGTGATGGAGGGACCGCACTGGTCCTTGAGACTTCTCCCTCCATTTTCCAGCCTCGGGCAGTCTTCGTGAGTTTCATCTCATGCAACTTTAGATATCGAAAGCCATCATCTGAAAAAGCCACCTATGGCTCTTTTTCAAGTTAGTGGAGATGCAAAGGCATGTGCGGAGTGTGA